CTCACAAAAATATTTGTTTAGCTATGGACTTCAATTCTTTGAATGCTAACTCATAGATATAGTTTTAAATGATTTAAAAATTCAACAAATTGAACGAACCGGGTACCCTCTAATGGAACCGCTACCTGTCGATTCTGATTATTGTTCCAACATTTTAGGAACCGCTAGTTTCGGTTTCGGTTTCGGTTCCAGATAATTAAGGTGGGTACCCGCCTATGCTCATCCCTACTCTCAAGTCTTGAAGATATTACTTGTTTTTATTCTCTCTTGAAGTTCATACTTTGGCTATGAACTTCAAGCTTAAGAGTTAAGAGTTTTAAACTAGCATCTACATCAAGTTGGCTTTTTGTTGGTGTTTCTTAAGTTCATCATTCTTCATCAACTTTCAAGCATCCTAAGAGGACCCATAGAACTACAAAGGTTGTTATTTCTTTATCTCTTCTTTGGTCGGTGTTGTTTTTCTTTCCAAACTTTGCAAGTTGATCCTTGGTGGGTTTAACTTGTTTATGTTATTAAAATTTATAAGTGTTCCATTGCCAAAATGTTATGTTTTTTAAACTAGTTTTTCAATAAAAACCCAACAAAAAGGTCAGGGTCGTGGGGAGTACCGAGGTGGTAATCAAGACCACTGAGTTGATTCAGCAGGTGTGCAACAGGTTGCGAGTCGCACAAATCCGAAAGAAGAGTTATGCAGACTGATGATGTTCATACCTGAGTTTCAGGTGGGAGATTTGGTCCTTCTGAAGGTGTCACTCTGGAAATGGGTCATTCGATTTCAAAAGCGAGGCAAGTTTGGCCCCATATTCATTAGTCCTTTCAAGATATCAGCCCGGGTGAGTAGGGTTGCATACCAGATGGATCTTCTTGATAAGCTCAACCAGATCCATAACATCTTCCATGTGTCTCAGCCTTGGAAGTGTGTAGCCGAAGAGTCCACAGTTGTTCCTTTGGATAACATATAAGTTGATGTTCGTTTAAATTCTATGGAGAGACCGGTGGCGATCTTCGATTGGAAGACGAAGGCTCTGCGCAACAAGGATGTATCTCTCGTTAAGGTCCAATGGCAACATTATAAAGGTTCCGATTGGACTTGGGAGCCCGAGGCGGAGATGCACGAGCACTACCCAGATTTGTTCGCGTCAGCAGACTTCGAGGGCAAAGTCTAGTTCAAGTGGGGGAGAGTTGTAACATCTAAATTTCCAAGTATTCATTTTTGACCCTTGGTTTGTGATTGGTTTGGAAAATTGGTCCCCAATGGCATTTTCGTAAAGTTTACATGCAAGATGGCTACGTTAGGCGTACACCTTGGTACGTTGGGCGTACCTGGCCTCGGGCATGTACGTTGGGCGTACCTTTGTATGCAGGGTGTACACAGTGTTGGACCAAACCCTAATATTTAGGGTTTGTGCACTTTTTAAGCACCACCCAAAACCTTTCTTCTTATCAGCCTTCACTCCTAGAATCGACCTACCTTGCTAACCCTAGCTTATTTTGAATATTTTGAGCTTTTGAGTGAGTTGTGAGCTTTCTTGCTTGTGAAGGAGGATCATCAAGGAGGTAACTTTGCTCTCAAGACTCTGGATCCAACACATTCTCTCCTTTATGCACCATTTGGAGGTATAAAGCTCCAAACTTGGCTTATGTTTCTTTTGATCTTAGTTAAGCCTTGATTTTCATCCTTTTTATCCTAAAACCAAGGGCTTTGTGAGTATGAGGTACTCCAAAGCCTTTGAGTTGTCCTTTCAGACATTCTAGGGTATTCTAAGTCATAAAAATGCAAGCTTGGATCTTAGTTTGTCCTCTTGGATGAGTATTGGTGTTGAAAAGGATGGAGCAAGTTAGGTTTTTAGTGTTGGGCACTTTGTAGCCATGCAAAGGCATAAAGTTTTCAAATTTATGGCCTTGCAAAAATTATACCCTTAGAGGTCTTATTAAGCTCATATATGAAGTTTGGACGTAAAGTCTTAAGGAATTAAGACCTTAATGAGGGTTTTGCTTCTGGATGCGTACATTGAGCGTAAAATCTAGTACGCCGCGCGTAATGCACCATGACCCCGTTCCTTTTCACTTCGGACTTGCAAGCAGGGCGTACAAGATTGTACATGTGGCGTACGACCTAGTACCAGCAATGAGTCATTCTTTTGGGCCTTAAATTTTTGGGCTTTTTCTTGTTGGGTTTGGACCATAGACTTTTATGATATTGGGTCACTTTTGGATTTGGGCCCATGTTGGACTTTGATAACCTTTGGGGTTTTGGCCTAGGATTTTTGGGCTAACTGAAAAAGGGTAAATTGGCCTTTTACCTTAGATATTGGACAAGCAAAGTAGATTTTCAACTATGGTTTATGTCCCAATTATTAATTGAGGATTTGTTTGTATAATTAGCACGGGGAATTTTTTCGGTCCAGCAACCCGAGCATTTATCTGATTTTTCAGCAATTGAGGTGAGTTTTCTCACTATATCCATGGGTCGAAGGCACTAATGTCGGCCTATTACTTGTTATGTGGAATGCTAGTTGTCTCTGTGATGCTTGTATGAAAGAACAAGATCTGACACTTGGAAATTGTATGAAAGACTAGGATCTGCCCCCTGACAATTGTATGAAGACCAGAATCTGGCCCCTGACAATTGAACGAAAGACCAGGATCTGGCCCCTGACACTTGTATGTAAGACCGGGATTTGGCCCTCAGCATTGCAAGGAAAGACAATGGGGATAGCCTATGACACTCATATGTTTTGTGTATGTGGTATTTTGAGAAACACACTAAGCTTTATGCTTATAGTTTATGTTTATGGTTCTAGGTACTTCCAGTTCAAAAGGGAAGGGTCCGACGTGATGGCACGACATCCTCCCTTCATGATTTCCGCATTTGATATATTTGTACTCTGATGTTTTGGATATTATGGCTTGGTGTTGATTTTGAACAATTAATGAATGATTTGATAAGCTTTTAAAAGAAATTTTTATTACTGTTTTTGGGCTGTTACACAGTTGGTCGTAATGGTGGTATTTACAAATTTGGCCAACAGAGAAGACGAAGGGATCCCATTCTCTCTTTCCCCCTTCACCGTTATTAACAGTGTCATCGTCTTCATCATTTGGGAGGGAGGACAGCGTCACCGCCTCCTGTAACTCGACTTCCTCGGAAACCATGTTGGATTCCACCTCGATCGCTGACCTCGGCATCTGTCGTTACCTCGCTCTCACAATCACCGATTTAGGGATTGCAAACCCTATCTTCGTTTGGGAAAGCTTCGACAGTTGTAGTTCTTTCGCTGCCTTTCTCGGTTTAGATATGTTCATCACTGGAGTAGGTGGGGAACTAGAGCTCTGGAGAAAGTGGTCACGTTCTTCGGTTTAGATATGTTCGCCTGGAGCTCTGGAGAAGGTGGTTACATTGTCTGTTTGGGAACTGGAGATCTGTTAGTCACTAATGTTCTCGATTCAGACATTGGCTTCGATGAGACATTCGCTTCGACGAGAAGGTTGTAGTTCGAACAAGAGTGATTCACCTGAAAAGTTTTTTGCACTTTTTGTGTGAACATACTGTAAGAGAAATAGAGGGAGAGGTGAGGAATGTGTTTTGTTTTTCTCTTTTTTAATTGTTGTAATGAAAAAAATGAATAATCAAAATAAAAAGGGTAATTTCATCATATTAAATGTTTTCAGAATTTTTTGACCAAACTTGCAACAAAATCAAAGTTTTGGACCAGTGGTGTTAATCCAAAACTTCTTGGAACAAAATAGAAATTTTCAACATACCATCAGGACCATTTTTGCAGTTTTGTCTTGGCTTTGCATGATATGATATGGCTTACAAGTCAAGGTATCTATTGTCTATAACGAATCCATATCCAAACCATCAAATAATCGACATTTATAAATCAATCAATGAGAAAATATATATAAAGTTAATGGATCCAACACAAAAAGAAACAAAACACATGACTAAGAGAGTAGCAGAAGTCATGAATCAAACAAACTACTCTCTACCTAAATCTTCACGAGCCTTTCGTTTGTATCTCAGGGATCAACTTTTGAACCGTTGGAACTGGAACTGAACCTGAACCTTTCATAAATTAATAAAACGGTTTTGTTACCGGTTCTCGACTTATAGCAAAACTAGTACCGATTCTAAAACCGGATTGGTTCTAACAAAAACCGGTTAAAAACCCAAAACCGGCCTAGAAGTGTAAGATTGTTTGTATTTGCTTTTAAAATAGTATAACTCACTCATATGAAGTTGAAATTACCTGATTTTTTTTCTAATATGTAATTTAGTGTTTGTACTTCATTTTAGAATTTTAAAAAAAAATCATATTTTGATTAAATATTAAATTAGATACAAGCTTGGAAAGACAACATATCACACATTTTGTTATTATGTCCATTTTTTTTAAAATAGCATAACTCACTCATAAAATTGGAATCATTTAATTTTTTTTCCAACATATAATTTAGTGTGTCTACTTCAGTTTTGACTTTAAAAAAAAAAAAATCATATTTTGGTTAAATATTCAATTAGATACAAGCCTGAAGAAGAAGAAAAAAAAAAGGTTGATTTTTGTTTTTCTGTTCAGCCCATTTTGTTATTTTGTCATGATTTTTAAAATAACAAAATTCACTTATATGAAGTCAAAATTTCGTATTTGTACTTCAGTTTAATCTTTAAAAAAAATCATATTTAAGTTAAATATTGAATTAGATACAAACCTGAAAAAACACCTTATCAAAACATTTTTCTATTTCAGCATATTTTATTATTCTGTTCCAGTTTTTAAAATAATATTACTTATGAAAACAAAATTTCTTGAGGTTTTTTTTTTCCATCATATAATTTAATGTTTGAACTTATGTTTAGATATTAAATTAGATACGTGTCAAGAAAACAACATATGAATGCAACATTGTTATTAAATTTGATTGAATTGTATTAAATTTGAAATGCAGGGATGAGTTTGTTTTTTGAAAGCTATATTTTTTTTTTAAACTTGATTGTTGAATATTATATTTTTTTGGAAGCCAACTTAACATGCAAGTACTATGAATTGCATCGTCATTAGTTTCACTTAATTTATAACCAATTTTTGTTTGGACAAATAACCGAAAAACCGGGACCGAAATCAGAACTCGAGTGGAACCGGTATTGGAACCGCGGTCTGGTTACTTGTTCTTATAATATCGCAATACCGGTTCCGATTCTGAATCAAAGTAAGTCCTCTCAACTAACTAAAAGCAAAATGTTGATAATGACATTATCCACCAATAATGATCTTTAGGCGATCATATGCATATTGCAATTTGTGTTTCTCTTCCATGTTCAACTTGTATCCATCATCATCATCATCATCATCAGACTGTATGTAGAAAAGCATTAAGCAAGTCAAGATATATATAATCACACAAGTACAATAGTACTTACTTCAATCTGGATCATCAGGTTTAAAAAAATAAAAACAGAAAGAAAAAAGTTGGAGATGTTTGATTACCATTACTCTGATTATGTTGTGCAATATGCCGTCAATCTCTTCCTTACAATTAGGTGCTGCTGCTATTTTCTTAAATATTTGACCACTGCCACTGCCACTGCCACTGCCACCACCTCTTCTAACATCCTCATCATGCATCAGCAGGAGGACACCAACAACTGCAATTATCCTTGGTTTTTCACATGTCCATGTCCTCATCACCTTCAACACACGATATACAATTCTCTCACTCCTAGACAACAAAACAAAACACGGCAAAACATAGTAACCCCTTCTTCTGCTTCTTCCATCCTCCTCTTCCCCAACATTCTGCTCCATAATAAAGAAAAAGTCAAGTCCAACGAAGCAAGCAAAACAAAAATGACATCAGATCTAAGAATATAATAACGCTGGTGACTTACAGACACAACATGGAGCAAGTATCCTGGAAGGAGGTTGCCTAGTTTGGAGATGCTCTCTTCAGAAAGCCTTGTGGGATTGGAATCAAGTCTGGTAATCATTCTAAGCAATGCACATGCATTCTCCAAGCCTGCTTCGTTAGTTGTATTCATATTCGACTGAAAAAAAATATTAATATCACACCATCCATTAATTTAAGCATCAGTCAACATACACACACACAAAGCAACTTACAATCTGATGAATAAGCGTTCCCTCTACCATCTTCAAAACAAGATGATCATCCCCAATCTGAGACAGGCAACAGCAAACACCACTAGTCACGCGCCTAAATAATCCAGAGTTTGACTTGTCACTATGTTCTGATGATTAAGCAAATTCACAAGCGTAAGCATAAGCATTGGCAAAATCAATTTAAAAATAAATAAAAATAAATAGCAACCAGGAAAAACTGTGTATCGTGAGGGTATCGTGATGAGAAAACTAATATAGTCAGCAATCTGGATGTGTCCAGCTCTGTACCCACAACTCACAACTTCCAACAACCGAAATAACAGAAATGGATCGACATCCTCAGCTGCATATCATATATATTATTCATATATTATTTATATATATTTATATCTATCAAATGATTACAACCAACAAGTACTCTTACTCACACAAGCAACAAGCAGCCACCGACTGAAGCAGAGATGGGTCTAGGAAGGAGAAGTAATAGAGGCAAGATATACAGACTTCCTGAATCTCTCTTGGCAGCTTCATGAACGCCCCATACGAAATATCTCCTGCAGGCAGGCCAACAACAGAACAAAATATATTATATCATCACCATTCAGCAGTCCACCACTTATTACTTTACTGTTATGTTATAATGTTATATATTCAACAGAACAAAATCAAAATATAAGCATCACCATCACCATCATGGCTTGTACTGTAGAATTCTCTCAATGACAACTGCATGCTGTCAAACTCCGACTTCATGATACCACATTGTCCCAACTCAAGCTGCACGCGCAACACAGCCTGCACTCCAAATCAACCACAACATCATACCCATAATTACATCCATCCATAACCAAATGCTCTTATCTGCTTTCTTTACAACACATGATAATGATATGAAAAAATTAATATACCTTGGACGACAAAGGATTTTTATCACCTAACAGACTTAGCACCAAAGGAATCTCTCTTATCCAACTAATCTTGAACTCCAACATTTCTGAATCACTTGTTGCATTTGCCCACGTGTTTTTCTGGATACATATTTATATATATATATATATATATATATATATATATATATATATATATATATATATATATATCATTCAAACTATATAGATTCAGCCAGGATAACAGATTAAGAAAAACATACAACCAGCCAGCCAGCCAGGCTTACAGGAAACAGCATTTCTTCGATTGCTGAAAGACAAACTAATTTCATTGAAGACTCCGGATCACACTTCTTGAAAACCTCTGTAAAAGCCTGAAATATATGCATATGCATCATTCTCCCTCTTATGCCTACATTGTACATGCTTAAGCTATCATACCTGGAGAATGTGTGATTTCCAAGTATCATCCACTTGCATCATCAGTTTAGGAATGAAACGAATCAGTGGAAGTGAATGCTTCTGAAAAAATGCTTTGCCAGTGCCACAGACCTGCAAAAATTGTGCATATTCCAAGTGCCATTATATTATATTATGTTATGATGATGCCAATTCACTCCACACTTGACCACATGAGAGGAGCCTTCTAATGGCTCATAATCTCTCTTTTTTTTTTTAGTTGCCATAAAATCTTTATAATATCAGAAACATGCTTCAAACTACATACCTTCTCAGACAATGCATCTACAAGGAACACCAGGAATTTTTCCAGAAAGACAGATGGGGGAGCTGACCAATCACTTAAACAAAAGAAGATCTCTGAAACTATGACATTCAAGATAAAATACCTATTGTCTTCCTGCGCATGCATTAACAATGTTGAAGCTTTTAAAAATTAGATGGTGAAAAATAAAAATACTGACTGACATCATAATAAGGAAGTTGTATACTACCTACCTTCTCCGATGACTGATGTGTTGGGTTCAGGGGAAACACAGTAAACAACTTCTTCAATAACATCTGCAACACATCTTGATCTCTTCTGTTGGAAGGTGGTGAGACTTTCGGATTCCCATAAACAAAAAACTTGACAACAAGATGTATACTTTTCAATAAAGAAAGCACACAATCAAATGACTGTGTTTCCAAATTAGGCATTATCTGAACTGAGGGCATAAAATCCTGGAGACCACCAACTAAAATAGGCAAAAGGCCCATCAATTCCTTTGCAGTCACCGGAAAAGCTGATGAAAGGAACCAATTTGTATGTTAAATATATATATATATATATATATATATATATATATATATATATACTTACACAGATGCTAACAGATCTTATGAAGAGAATATCAGATTCTGGGTTCTTTCACTTACCAGAACCATCTTCATGCAGTTGAGACTCAAAAGCATGCAAAATTCTTGGGTCAGCAACTGCCTATTTGCAAGAGGGAAAAAGGAGAAGGGCATTATACATAGCAAAATCCAAAAAGAATATAAAAGTCTGATATTACTCGTGCAAACAACTTTACAAGAAGTTATGGTTGAACATGCAGTGTGCAGTGTGACATCAAGATTTCCCAAAACGGAAACATAAAAAAGCAGGGAGTTTTGGACATTGTACATGATGTTGTTTGATTGGAAGCTGTTAGAAAAGTACATTTTCAGTTGAGGAGTTAACATCTGGCAACAGAGAGAGACAGTATGCCAAGCCAGCAAGAACACTCTTAAGCTTTCCCTTGTCATGCAAATTAAACTGGTTCTTCTGCAATATCTCTTGGTAATGTTGGATGATCTACAAACACGAAAAACAGTTTTTCAATATCCCACTTGGACCTAAATATTATTTTGAATATGCAATGCACCCATGCTCTTTTCTATACCTTTTCAGCATACATGGAGAATGACATTGGGTAGTGCTGGACAAGCAAGTCGAAAAATTTGAAAGCCATCAAACGAACATCAAATGCCAAATGTGTCATTGCATTGAAGACATAAGCCATCATCAAGGATATAAAAGTCCCCTGGTTATCCTGGAAAAATCAAATAACTTCAGTTTGACATTGACATAAATAATAATATGTTACAAAAACAACACACACCTACCTCTTTACAAGCAGGAAATATGACTGCTTTTAGAAGTTGATAGAGCGTCTCACGGACAATTCTGTCTTCATCACTCATGCGCTCGCGCAGTTTTTCTATAACAGAGAGTCTGTGCATTTTCAGTTGTGCTGGATGTTTTAGGAAGATATCCCTGATCCCAATCAATGCATCTTCAAACGGAAACAACGCAGCTGGTTTTAGTCTTAATACCAAATCATATGGATCATATTATATACTACTATTAGTTATTCTAAATTCTTTAACCAAGCACTAGAGTGTTCCTTGACACAAATTCAAAATATTAAATATTAAATGTTAATAGAAGAGAAACATATGGTACCTCTGCGGACTTTTGCATTGTGATGAGATGTCTGCTGAAGCAGCTCTTTTAAGGTCAAACCTTTTTTGCTGACAGCTAGACCAGCCTTCTCTGATGCCAAACTTTGCTCCGGTAATATGATTGCTGCACATAACAGTTAACATCAAAACAAGTTGAAACAAACAAAAAAAAAAAAAAAAAAATCCAATTAATACTCTTTTCATATTCTACTTTCCTTCTTCTTATCATACTAACATCAACAGACAGGTTCCGTGTATTTAGAAACCATCATGACAACCCACAAAACCTTTGTGGATTGTAATCCATCTTATCAGACACATAGAACAAAGGAAACAGGGGTTAATGGTTATTTTTCAATTTATCCCCTGTTGGCTTCTTTCGTTTTGTTGGGCGAGGAAAGTCTGTGTGGCTCAAGTGGAACTACAGGGTTAGGGTTATATTGGTCAGGGGGGATGGTGTCATGTCATCACAGGGAAAGATCTTAAAAATGGACACTTTCTTTGTCTATTTAAATTTTAATATGAAGTTGCATTTTGCTGCTGTTTTACATTATGACAAGCAAAGCAAGATGAGGCTATTGCGTATTGTATTGACATCTTCAATACTGCATACCAATGTTGGCATCACTTTCCAGACATGCACTAAGCCAGAAAATACATTGGAAGACAAGTAATGCTTTAAGATCACCTTTCGATTTGACTTCAGTATTGGTGGTATTCTTTGGTGGCGGCAGTTTCCTCCCAATTTTCCGCTTTATTTTCTGCAGAATATCACATCAAAACACAGTTGCAGTTGCAGTTGCATGTAAATCATCATCCAAGGAAAGGAATGAGACTTACTTTGAAGTCTACACCACGCTTTTGCTGCTTCTTCAACTGAGCCTTATGTTGCACCATCTTTCAACTCAAACTCCTTCAACGAGTTCAGATTTTACTTTAACAAAAAAAAATCAAAAACAAAGAGGGTGTTCAGCTAAGCTTATTAAAACTGCTTATTGCTTTTTGACTTATAACTTATTAGCTTATGGCGGTGTCAAAGGGGAGTTTTTAAAAAACTGTTTGGATTCCCTTAATCCAGTTTACACATAAATAGGTTGAAAATGGTCACCTATAAACATAAGCCAACATTGTTATTCAGCATTGTTACACGTTGTTCTTCAACTGAATCACAATCTTAGTTTAGAATGATGGTTGATAAAAACTTATTATCTTTAATTGATTATGGTTTTCTGATTATTTACAATCAAAACAATCAGAGTTACAAAACCATGAAATGAGTTGCAAATGTTTCTACTTTACAGAAGGAAAATCAATTCACATTCAAAGATAAACAACTTTCATTACAAATGTTTCTACTTTACAGCTCTTATTCATCAATTGATAAATTCATGAACCAACAAATTATTCTAACGGAAACAAGGAAAATAAAGCTAGGAAAAAAGTCGACAGCAGGAAAAAAAAAACGATAGAATGAAAAATTGAACAAAAACGAACCTAGCTGTGGGAGTGCGACGGTCTCCGGCCGGTGGCTTCACAGAGGAGAAGGCGGCGAGCAGGGGAGCCCTCACTTGGAAGCAACTATCGACAGAAGCACGCAATGGATGGAGGCGTCTTTGTGTAGATACGTATGAGGTTTATTAGGTTCAAACGTTATTCATCGTTGCACTTGCGCGATGTAACTTCATTATTATTATTATTATTATTATTATTATTATTATTTACCATTTAACATGTCACCATTAGGGATGAAAGTGGGTCCAAATCCGGACCGGATGGATCCGGAACCGGTTAACGGGATTTTTTAGAACTGAAAATCGGACTATTATATAGGAACCGGTTCCTGGTACGGTACCGGGTAAAATGGGTCTAGAACCGGAAAACCCGAAAATATCAAAGTGGGTAGGTTGGAACAGGATAAAGTGGGTTTAGAACCGGAAAAACCAAATTTTTTTGGTAATTACTTACGACTTAGTGGGTTGAACTTTGAAAATTTTCATATTGATATCCCGACTTTGGGTGACTATAACTCATTGAATATGAAACCAAAATTAACAAAATTAAAGTCTAAAATCATGTACAAACTTTAAAATACACTCTGCAAAAAACCGCATCTCAATCGACTTTAAACGAATGAGATATGCATGTGTTAATATTTTCACAGAATACAAAGTACAAAAACAAATAACTAAAAAGTTGAAAATTTTCAGTTTTGATATCTAAAATCATGTACAAACTTTAAAATACACTCTGCAAAAAACTGCATCTCAATCGACTTTAAACGAATGAGATATGCATGTGTTAATATTTTCACAGAATACAAAGTACAAAAACAAATAACTAAAAAGTTGAAAATTTTCAGTTTTGATATCCCGACTTCGGATGGCTGTAAATTATTGAATATTAAACCAAAAATGACAAAATTATAGTCTAGACTCATGTACAAACTGTAAACTACAAGTTGAAAAAAACCACATATCAATCTGATTTCAAACGAATTAGATATGCATGTTTTAAAACTTTCACCGAATACAAAAAAACTGAAAAATTAAAAACTTCCAACATTGATAAATCGACTTCGGGGGACTATAAGTCAATGAATATAAAACTAAAAATGACAAATTTATAGTCTAAAATCATGTACAAACTCTAAACTACATGTTGCAAAAAACCGCATGTCAATCGGAGTTGAAACGAATAAGATATGCAACTTTTAAACGTTTCACAAAAATCGGTTCCGGACTTAAAAGTGGTTTCGGTTCCTAACATCGGTTCCGGTTTTTAGACCTGATTTACCCGGACCCGATGGACCCAAACTCAGATTACCCGAAACCCGGATAAAGCCAATTTTTAAACCCAGAACCAGAACCAGTTCTATATATTTCGGTTCTAACGGTTCCGGTTTCAGTCCAATTCCGGTTCCGATCCAGTTTTCCGGCTCTAAATCTCATCCTTAGTCACCATTCATTGTCACATGCACCAAAAAAAAATTGTCTAAATGTGAACAATTTCTTAAGAATTTTTTTAATTTCTTAAAACATTTTAATGATATTTTTTTTCCTATAGGTTTTTCTAATATAATGTTTTAAACTTTGTTTATAATTTTTTTAAAACTTTTTTTATACTTTCATATAATTTTAATACAAGCACTTTTAAACCAAAAATTCTATAAATATTTTAAAATTTTCTTACAAGCTTTTAACTTTTTTTTTTACATTTTCATACAATTTTGTTATAACTTTCATACATTTATTTCTAAATTTTCTTTTACAACATTTTTAAAGTGTTTCATATATTTTGTATGACAATTTAATATTTTTTATAACATTATACTAGTTTAAAACGTTATATAAAAAAATTACAAACTTCTAATTAAAAAAGTATTAAAAAATTGGAATAATTTTAAAAAATTTACATTATATAGATTTTTTTGGTTTTTTTTATTTGCTAAGTAATATTTTCTTTTTATTTTTTTAAAAGACCCTCCACACTTATTGTTATATATTTAGACATTTTGTGTACATATTTAACCATTTAACTTGTTAATTTGTTTACATATTATCATTGTCACCTGCTATAGCCGATGACAAATTACAATATGTGAACAGATATAACAAGTTAAATGGTCAAATGTATACAAAAATAAAGAAGTTACCTAAATTAGAACAAAGTGATAAAGATAATTATACTGGTAAGTTATTTTCACTTACTTATTAGGAGGGTATTTAGGATTACTTTGAAATGAATTTTTAGTTTTTATCTTTTTCAAAATGTCAAAAAAATATTTGGAAAATACAAACAAAAAAAAAAAAAAAAAAAAAAAAAAAAAAAGTCTGCAATAAGAAGATTGCTCGTTTTTAATGTCTACAGACTATTGAAATAAACTCAATTTTAAATAAACTGATTTTACAAAATTAAAATGATTTTTCAACATCAAAATTTTAATAATAATAATCATACAACACTAAAAATGAATTTCATTCAACTAAATTAGTCAATACAATAAAAAATGGTTTTACAATAACAGTTTCATTTAAAACAATTTAATCTATATTGTGCATCAACTATACAACAATTTCATCTCGTAATTGAGTCATATATTCAGGGTCTGCTGCAGTATCATGTGTTGGAATCTCTTCTTCATCATCATCAACGACCACATTGTTATTTTGAAATGACACATTGGTTTCATCGTATCGTGTGAAATACTCATCACTCAGTCCTTCTTTCCTTATAAAATTATGAAGCATGAAACATATCATGGCAATGTTTCTTTGTGTAACATACGGGAATGGTGTCGTCATCTTCAATATAGGGAATCATGCTTCCAAAACACCAAAAGCACGCTTAATGACGTTTCGAAGTTTTGCATGTCCATGATTACATTTTTCTTTATTGGTCAATGCACGTCTTTGACAAAAATCTCCAAGTCAATAGCTCAAATTACGATAAAGTGCCATAAATCCTCAAGTGTGTGCATACGCAGCATCCCAAAGATAATATTTGTCTGTAAAAATGCAAAATACTAATCAATATTCAAACTAAGATAAAAACATTTAAAAAACCAAAAACTTACCTGGTGAAGGAAACGAGAATGATGCTTGCAGACCAGCTACTGCTTCTGATAATATTCTAGAGTCATGCGTTACCCCTACCCACCCGGCCACAACAAATGTAAAAATCATATTGAAGTCACAAATTGCCAATACATTTGGGTAAGAATCTTCCTTTCCCTTACTTCTATGTAAGTCTTGTTTCTTAGCAGGGACAATAACATATATCAAAGAGCCATCAAGTGCACCAACCGCTCCTTTGAAAACCCGTCATAGCCTCCTATTATGTCCTAAAATGTTTGGATTCAAATTAAAAAAAGTTGGTACTATAACGTCTTGTGCGAAAAGCATCATTTTTTCCAACACTTCATAAAAAATTATGAATTGTTTGCTTTGAGTGTTGAATCTCCGCTTGATAACCACATAACGTTAATTATGGTTGATCATCATCAAAAACCGTAACATCCATAAAATTCAAGCCAATTTAAAACATTTTTAACCATTAAGTTATTACAAAATGTTTTCTAAATAGATTGGACATTAGAGTATGCCAGAAATCCAAAACATAAAAATATGAGGAAGTGCACGATCACGCTGTCTCCTTCCCGCGATTATCTGATGTACCTGAAACAAAATCCAAAATTGTAAGCCCGAAGCTTAGTGAGTTACCCCAATATACCCATACATACAACAATATACACATAATCACAAACAACATACTATGGGTCTAATCAACCATCGGGTTGGAATACCCCAGGACCTCAACCATCAGGTTGGAATGCCAACATACTATGAGTCCAATCAACCATCGGGTTGGAAGGCCAACATATTATGAGTCCAATCATCCTCGGGCTGGAATACTCTCGCTACCAATCAAATATGTGCACCAATATCAAATAATCATATAACAGTCTACGGAGACAACATACTAAGGTCCAATCATCTACAAGATGGGAATGCCGTTAACTACCAATCAAACATGTGCACATATAACATGTAATCATATAATAGTCTACAGACAGTCAAACTGATCTACAAGTCTCTAATCAACGCAACATCCTATCTACCAGGATACCGATTTAACCGATCTCACTAATAACAAAGCAGGATAACAATCCAAAAGGGCCGACCTTGGTGCCTTCGACCCTTGAGTATAGTGAGGGAACTCACCTCACGAGTAGTGCAAGATGATAAATGCCAAACTTCCCAAATACAGGTCCAAACTCAATCACATACATCCACCAATGATCCACTTTCATAAATTTCTAAATCACTAAAATACCCCCAGAAGTCAAACTAGTCAACCCTTGGTCAAAGTCAAAGTTAATGGTCGAGGTCAACATCCCA